GCTGTGGGGCAGGGCCGCGGGACTCGCCCTCGGCCGGCGCGCGCGGCGCTTTGGGGCCTCGCTGCCGGGGTTGGGGCCGGGGAGCCCTGCGGGGCCTTTGGAGGCGCCGGGAGCCTCCGCTGTGAAACCGCAGAGAGATTCCCGTTTGTTCTGGGTGGTTTCGCGAGCGTGGGGAGCGATTCACCGGCCAGGGSCCGGTGGCGCCGCTGCGGAGCGGAGCGGAGCGGAGCGGGGGAGCCGCGGAGCGGGGCCGGGCCGCGGGGCGCCGCGTTCGGGGAGCCGCTGCSCCGGCTCCGCGCGCGGAGGGGAGGCTTTGCCAGGTCAGGCTTTGCAGTGCTTTGGTAAGATCGGACTTCAGGTTTACTTGGTCTCCTCCAGGAGGCCGCTCCACCGGCACGGCCTTTGAGCTGGCCTCTTCCTTCTCCTGGGCGTGCTAGACTGTTGCTTTTATGGAGCAGTCCCGTCCCTCCTCTCCTTRCCATGGTTATTTGGGAGCGGGGCTCTTGGGACACTGAGCCCTAACCGCAAATTCCCTCCTGGATAATAAAGTTGAGAGGCAGGTTCGAAACACAGCAAAGGCTTCCTCAAATCCACACCTGCCCCCCGTTAGGATGGGCTCCTGTTTCTCGTGCTCGGTTTCTTCCTAAGGGAAATGTAAATCTCATCACGGGGCCAGGGAGCCCGTTTGGACACCTCGTGCCCGGGGAGCACGGTTCTGTCTCCCACGCTGGCCCATGTAGACATTCAGAGACCTCAATGTAAATGAATACAAACCTTTCAGAGACTCCTTAATGCACCTCCTGCAAGGAAAACTTGTCGTCATTTTGTGTCGCTTCTGTTGTCACTTTGTGTTCCTGTGCGGAAATACAAGGTCCTTTAATTACTTAGCTTGCAAGATCCTTGCCCCTCTCTTTCCGATGGGGGTTTAGGGCTTGCCCCAGTTGGACCGACCTTCCCCGGTCTGTGGGGTTTCACTGCTGTGCCCTTTGCTGCCCGGTGTCGCTCTAAGGTGTAGGAAGCAGCAGCAATCCTAAAAACAGGCAGGAAGAAACGTGAAGGGAAACAGGGAAGGGGGAAATTCCCTCATCCCCCTGGCAGGTGCACCGATGCTCCGGAGCAAATCGGGCACCACCTCAGTTTCTGTAGGGCCTTYGTGGAGGAATTCTGCGTTCTGAGCTGGACATTTCCTGCTGGCGCTTGGCTGCCTCGGGATGGAGACCCTGTGCCCGGCCCTGTTTCCTGCAGCACCAGTCACTGACGGTCACCGGCGGCGTCGGAGCAGAGCAGGGAGGAACTGAGATGCTGAAGCAATTTGCTGGTAAACGTTGCCTTGTTCTCGAGCTCTTCTGTGSATAACTGCTCGTGCTCGGAGCAGAACCGCGGGAGGAACCTGAGCCGCCAGCTTGCTGTGCCGTGGGCTTCCCAGCAGGTACTTGCCCCTTCCTTGCTCGTGATGTGGCCGAGCGGCTGCTGAAATGCCCCTGCGGGGGCATTGCCCCTGTTTTGTAGGCACTTCGTGCTGCACCCCGTGCCTTTTCCCCCACTGCCGTGTCTGCTCTTACAGCAGGACGTGCTCTGCCTTCTCCCGCCGCGTGATCTGCTGAACTCTCCTACGTGCTGAAGCTCGGGATGGTCAGCTCCTGCCTGAGRCCGGCGGGCAAGATGTTTTCCTTTCGTCCGTTTTCCTTCCTTGCTTCTCCAGCACTGCTTGTGTGATTCCGAGGCTGCTGTTGCCTGCGGGGGAAGACGAGGGCTGCGTTTGATTTATTTTATTACTTGCTGGCTCTGAARTGGTGGTTGTGTTAACGGCCCCTTGTCGCTTTGGCCTGGCACGTGCTGGTAGGAGAGTCCCTAGGGCTGTGTCCGGAATGTCTGTCTGGAGACATAGCTGCTCTTCATGAACAACTGGTTTGATGGGCTGAATCACCCAGCTCTGGAGCTAGTGGCGTTTCCCATGCTGGTCTGAGGAGCTCGGGAAGCTGGCCGTGACGGCGGCACTGGCGTGGGTGAGCGGGGCTGGGGCCGGGGGGCAGTTTGTGCCGCTCGGGGGCAGGAACCGAAGGTGAGGAGGGGCAGAGAGGCCTTCCCTCAGGGGAGGAGGAGGCCTGTAAAGGCCTGGCCGTTTTCAGAGACATGTCCCAATAGTGGGGGTGGTGGTGAGGGGTCTTCCTGGGGGGTCTCGGGAGCTTTTTTCTGCTGCCTGGGCTCTCAAGACCCGTTTCTTGGTCTCTTTTCCCCTGTTTCCTTCCCAGACTCCCCCAGCCTTAAAACCGTGGCTATTCTTTTTTCCCTCTTCTCTCACACTTTCCAATTTTCTTGCTCCTTCCTTGGTGCTGGAGTTGTAAGGAAGGAGGCCCCAGTGACTAACAGAAGGTGATCTCGGGGTGCCCGGGCCCGGAGCAGCCGCTCCGCYGGGCCCTGCGGCGCCGTGCATGGGAACGGGAGAGAGGGAGCGATCCTGGAAGGCAGTGCGTGCCGGACGGGGGCGGCTCGCGGTTGCTGGAGCGGAGCAGTGGGGTGTTTGGGGGATAGATTTACCCCGAGTTTGGGTGTTAGTTTCCTGGTCGTAAGTGTTAGTGTCCAAGTGCCGAATTCAGCCCCGGGTCCGTGTGTCCTGGGGGTCTGGCATCGGCCTCTGATGATTCCCACTGAAATGAGGGCATCCTCTTGGCCTGCGCAGCGTGGCCGCGCGGCACTGGCTTCGGAAGTGCCGCGAGCCCTGCTCCTGGAAGAGCTTCTCCTGAAGGAGCCCCGGTGCATGGGAGCCCCTGGGGACCATCCTGCTCCGAAACGTCCTTGCGGACGGGGCGCAAAGGCCGGGCCTGCACAGGCTGAGCCTGCACAGGCTGAGCCTGCACAGGGTGCGCCGGCCTGCGCGCAGCGCTGCTCCTGGGGTGGCCCTGCTCTCCACGTTCCTGGTTAATGCGATGGCTTCCTGACATGCTCTGCAGGGCAAAACCTCCCGTCCTTTTCCAGGAGAGGACAGGCCATGGAAGTGGCCCTGTCCCCAGAGAAGAAGGGACCCCGTGGGCACACCAGGTGAAGCCCTCCGGAGAGGTGAATGTACCCGGCCAAGCACCGGCTGCCCGCACAGAGGCTGTGGCTTTTTTGGAGGGCTTGTTCATTCCTTGCCTSTCTCCCTGCTTTTCCTCCTAATAGCCCATTTAGTTCTTTGTGGGTTTTGCTTTCAGGAGAAAGTTTGCAAGCGCTGTAAGGCCTGYAGTGAGAGCGACCTGCCACATGTAAAATTGCCTTGGTGTTTTTTAATAACACCTATTACCTTTTATAAAAAATGCTGCAAACCCCAGAGAGGTCGTGATTGATGTCAGCGTGTTTGGCCATTCTTTAGAGTTCTAAGAGCTGCCATCCAGAAAAGAAAACTCCTTCCTGCATTGAAATAGAGCTTGTGCTTCCCTGCCTGGCTGGGTGGCAGTAACTGGGTTGTTCCTCATTAAATGTATGTGTGTTTCTAGAAAGCAGCTGGGCAGAAAACAGCGTGAAGGGCGTCCCTTAAATGTTGTAAGAGGATCTGAAAGACGTGGAGTGCTGACGGTGCCGCCTCTTATGGACCAAGACAACATTCAGTTGCTAAACTAATTCTAGGAAGGGACAGACTGACTCACGCAGCTCCTGGGAAGTCTGCAGATCACGTGGAAATGGAGGTCACTGTTGCCAGCTGCTTTATTCTGTACAAGAAAGACTTTTCCCTGGGGGGAGAGGAAGAGTGAGCTGAAATGCTGGATCGCTGCAGAGCGTTTGTGCGCTGCAGTTATTGCAGCTCCTCGTGTTATGGGCAGCTGCCTTTGGTGCCAGAGGCTGGAGAAGGAGCCATGGGAGACACACACTTGACTTGTAGGGCAGGGCAGCATCTCTGTTAAGTCAGTGGGTCCTGAGAGCTGCTTCTGCATCTCGGGGGGCGAGTGAAGCCCCTGGCTCGCYGGCTGCGGTGCCGGCTCGTCCTGGCTCCCCGGGACGGGGTCAGAACTGCTGAGCTTCAATGGGTTGCTTCAAAAAATCCCTTCCTTCCCGCCAGGCTCCCCTCAGGAGCATCCAGCTKTCTCGAAACACGAGATGCCCGTGCAGGGAAGGAGCTGGGCCGAGGCGGTGTGCGCCGGAGGCCGGAGACGCGCGGCTGCGGGAGCCGGGCAGAGGCAGCCGTGTCCTCGGGAGCTTTGTGCGGAGCGGGGCGTGGGGAAGGTGCCCACAGGAGCTGGCCGCTCGGCACCGTTCRGGACGTGTCCCTGTAACTTCCCCTGCGCCTGGCAGCCCCTCTCGGAGTCACGAGCAGCCGCCTCCGCGCGGATAATCAGCCTTGCCAGCACGCGGGTTCTCCTCCCGTAACCTCCTTACGGCTGCCAAGGGAGATTAGGCATCCTGTTCCCACTGGGAGTTTTGTGAGAGGGGGGGGTTTCAGCTCTCCTTGTGCCCCTGAAAATCCCCTCGTAAGCCTGGTCTAGCCTATATTTCAATAACAAATGCAGAGGTTTTCAGCGTTGCCACGCAGGAAGCAAATGCAGCATCCCCAAAATTCATGTCTTGCCTGAGACTTGCTGTGAAATGTGATATAAAAAAGGATAAGAGATTTTGCTGGAAGAACTGGAGCCTTTGCAGTTAGCAAAGATATGAAATAYCCATATGCAATCTTGGTAGTGCAAAACCAAACAGGGCTATGCAGCGTAATCAGAAATACCTGTAGCAATCTTGTGGTTGTAGCCAGAATGGCCCTTTCCTGAAACACAAAAATAAGGCAGGGCTTATGAGAAGAGCTATTTCATTAGTGCTTTTGGATTTTCCTCTCTCACAGACTTTGGGGCATAAACTCCTTTGGGTCTTGAGGACTTCACCTTGCTGCCAAGATCTTGCCCTTTTCTCGTGCCAGTAAAAGAACTAAATGTAACAGATGCATTACAGAAATAATAGGATTATTGCTTCCTTCTACGCTGTGTAATCCAAAAGGGAAGATCATCTGTATTAGTGTTTCTAGTACAAAAGAACTGTGTGACTGYGGCAAGGTGTGTGTTCAACAGGAAAAGCAGAAATAGCTGCTAACAGAATATTCCTTCTGTGATCGCGATAGTCGTAGTTGTGAAGTGGAGAATTAACGGAATTGATAATAAATTAATTTCCTGTTTGCCTCCTGTRAGGCAATATATAAAGGATAATTACTTAAAACTGCTGCTGCCTGGCAAGCTGGAGTTCCTGTGGAGAGAAACGCTATGGTGTGATATGTGGAGCTTAGTGTGTGGATATAAGCGCAAAGCTCAGCTCAGTGTTCCCCGGGGGTGTTGGTGCTGCAGCTGGGCTGCCGCTGCCCTGTGTCCCGGGTGGGTTTTGGGRAGCCGGTCTGTTCCGGGGCTGAGCCGGGACTAACGGGGTGCTGCCCCGGGGCTCGCTCTGGGCGGCCAGGCCTGTGGCTTCGAGCGTAGCCTGGAAGAGGGCTTGGAAACAGAGCGGCGTGTCGGACGGTGACGCATAAGCCGCACTGCTGAGCTTCSTGCTGAGGCCTCTGTGGTGTGCTGAAGCTTCAGGAAATTGTGGTTTGGGGCTGATTTAACTCACTTTTGCATTTCCCCTTAGAAACTCACGTGCCGAAAGCTTCCTGAGGGTGGTGAGTGCCTACAGAAGGGCTTCCTGGGYACGCTTGCAGTTTTGGATGAAGGAAACGCACCTCTCACTCCCTGGGGAGTTGGAGGTTGTGCTCAAGCGTGAAAATCCTCTCGCTTTCTGTCKTCCTTCCTCTCTCGGCCTTGGTTCTGCAGGGAGCCACTGTTAGAGCTGCGCAGTGTGATCCAGCCTCCATCTGACAGGTGCCTCATCCTGGTGGGGACGCTTTACATCTGTTTGGTTCCTTCTTGAGCACGAGGTGGTCTTGAAGATCCAGCATCTCTCTTCATTCAGCAGAAGTAAGAGGTTGTCTTGGTTATTGCCAGGGAAAGGGAAGCTCTGCTTGGGGCTCCAGGAGCTCCCATACATCTGTAAATACCTTGAGGAAAACCGTGGAGCTTGTTCTCCTCGGTGGAGAGCAGAAAATCATTGTTTGGGGTTGAAGCTTGAACCTTCATCCCAGCACTGGTGCGTGACTTGCAACACGAGCGGTGGTTTAGGCCCCAGCTTGATGAAACGCAGCACCACTTGCAGCAGCTCCAGGGAAGGAGCTCATGGCCCGTGCGGGGGTTGTGTCAGCTGGGTGAGTGTACAGCGAGGTGTAGGAGAGCCGTGCCAGGGAGACGTATGGGCTGCTCTGCGCCTTTGGGCTGGTAAAAGTTAAACAGACCAGGCCCGGTAACTCCTGTGGGCTTGTCCAGCTCTTTAACTGAAGGTGAAAACTGAAAATAAAAAACAAGGGGAAAAAAAGGAGCAGCAAAACCAAGGTCATCTGGTGACTCGATTTTCAGTGTTTGCTATGGTTTTGTACAATGAAACATGCTA